ACGGCCCGGCCCGGGCTGGGCGCCCCTCGCTGCGAGCGCCCGGTTCTGCGCTGACGTGGTGTCCCTGTTCTGTGTAGGTGGAAATGGAGCTCAGGCTCGGAAGCGTCAGCGCGGGGTTATGTTTGTGGTGATCGAGGCGTCCGGGCCCTCTTAGGAAGCGAATTTATCTTCAGGAGTTGTTGAGCAGTGTAAGTTTCGCAGATTCCTTTATCCTTTTTTTTTTTTTCAGGGTCTGAGGGAATCTTTGAAATCCGCTCTCTTCTTTTGTCCTTTCCTTACTAATTTATCTCTAGGCTCTTCACGCATTCTTTATCTTTTGCTTTTCAGCTGCTAAAAGGTTTTTTTGTTCTTGAGTTTGTCACTTGTTCAGTCTCCCTCAGTGCCCGCACCAGCAGTTTTATTTCTCAGCCTCACCCCATTTAGGCAGTTTTCACTGCGGTGTTTCTCAAGTTCATTTGAGGCAAACTACTTACCGTATGCGTCAAAATAGTGCATGATGATGTCTGTGTTGGACTTGAAAAGCGTGAATGCCTCTTTGATAACGTTTCCAAATGTATGGTTTTTGCTATACAGCTGTAGTCAGCAGCAGGGTCTGCTGTAAATGTGTGTGAAGGGCGAAGAGGCTTGTGGACCACACCTGAACATAAGTGACAGGCTCGTGACTGTTGAGAGCTGTCTGTGTACAGCAGACTGCTGTAGATAGCACACAGGAAAACTCTGATCCTTAGGAACCCCTTGAGCACGTGTCCAGTGCATTGTGCCTCTTAAGCACAATTGAAAGAAATTCCATCCTGGGTGTCTTTCTAGGAGTCTTAACTGTGGTGACTGTCATATAACATCTCTTCTCCTATTTGAATTTATCTTAAACCTTAACCAAAATTTTTTTCTGGCATAGCCTCTTTATATCATTCAGCTAGTTGAAGTACTGACTTAACCCTGTGTTGGAGATAATTTTAAGTAGCTACTTTTAACCATATTATTTGGTTTTAGTGCTGTATTCATTTTGACATATTGCATTACATTTCTGTATTTAAAATGCTCTCTATGCAGTTATAGTAGGATATAAACAACATTTGAGTTCAGTTTGGTTTTTTTATAAGAACTGATGATATGTCTGTCTTATTTAGAGTCACTATGTCAAATAAGGAGGTGAAAACAGCATTGAAGAGTGCTAGAGATGCAATACGAAATAAAGAATATAAGGAAGCCTTAAAACATTGCAAGGTAATTAATTTTTTACTTGGAAGGCAATATTTTTTGCACATTTTGTTTGCTGTTCCCACACCTCTGCAGCTGTACAGTAATGCAGAGTGTGGAGTACCTTATTGACATAATACTTGAGACTGATTTTCAAATTTAACTTCATTGATCATTCATGTTAGTTGCCCACAGATAAACTTTTATTCCATTCTTTTTGCATTTGCTTATATGTGGTGATAAGAATATTAAGCCTAGAATGGTAAGAGAGAAAAATCCATTCCTAATCCAGACCTTAATGGGAGTGATTTAGTTGCTGAGCTTCGGGTACGGTTACTGGCAGAACAGTTCAGATGTGAAGCATTCTCGGGCATGGAAAGCTGAAGTTATTAATCATAGCCTTTTCCTAAGCATTACTTAACTTCTATACTATATAGAATAATTCACCAAACTGTATTGATAAAACTCAGTATGTGGATCTATATGATGCATTTCATTCATCAGTTTCACTTAAAATTGTGTATTTCTAGGCAGTGTTGAAGCAAGAAAAAAATAACTACAATGCTTGGGTATTTATTGGCCTGTCAGCTGCGGAGTTAGAGCAGCCTGATCAGTCCAAAGGAGCATATAAGAAAGCTATTGAAATTGAACCAAACCAGTTACTGGCATGGCAGGTATGTGAATGTCCAGATTAACTTTTTCTTTCCTTGAAAAATGTCACTATGGAGTTAAATGTAGGAACAAGGCAGAGTTGAGACTTGTATCATATTTTTCTGAGGCCCTTAGTTCTGCAGAAGCTTCAGAGTAGCTAAGCTTTGTGTTATTTGTGTGTCCAAAGTAAAGCAATGGGTGGCTGCATATGTATAGCAGGGTGAAAATTAGTTTCAGTATATTTAAAATTGTATTTTTGTGAAGACTAGATAGCAGTAAAACATGCAAGGGAGAATGTGAATTGAAACAGATACAGTAAATTTGTCCATGCTTGTAGCTCAAGAAACATTTGACAACGCTTCTCTCTTAGGAGAGAAAATGTTTTATCTAATAATTTATTTTTCTGGCACCGGGTGAGTTGTTATTGAATTTTGTTGTTACTTAAAAATGATAGTATTCATATGAAATAGCTGTGTGCTGGGTGGTGTGTGCATGACAACCTGTAACAGTATATAGTTATAACATACGGTATTTGGAGACTAAAGTTGAATATTAAGACTGTCTCTGATCCCAGCAATCTATGTTTTTCTAAGGTAGTAATAAGGTTCTTAGTATTTTCAGTATAAATACCTTTTTAAAGTATAACTGTTGGTGCCTGATTTCAAGGTACATTGAAATTTCCAGTTTTGCAATCAGATTCTGGCTTTGTAACTATACAAGACAGTATGATACTTGGGTATAAATCTTCTATCATACCACTTAGTGTGCTTTGTGTATTGTCTTACGCAGACAAGATTATGTAATACAAGTTTCAAATGGTTGTTGGTGTTAGTTAAGAAAGTGAGGAAAGCTTTTAATTTAAAATAAGTAGATTCAGAGGGCTGTAGAGAAGTGTCAATGTAGATTCTGCTTAGAGATTGCTACGTTAACACTTGACCTCATTGAAGACAATGGAGTAATTTTTAGGCAGAACTTTCAGTGTTTTCATAACACGTAACTGTTGACATCAAATCTTACTTCTTTATTATCTTTTTTTTGCTGTTGTTTAAAGGGATTAGCAAATTTATATGAGAAATCCAACCAAACAGATGTCAAAGGAGACTTGGCAGATGTTTACAAAAAGCTCTTGGAACTCTATAAAAGGTAAAGGATACCGAATACTGTAATTTGCTGAGACACAGGATAAGCTTTTATTTTTTTTAAAGCCTTGTCACATCAATGGGTCAGCACTTGTTACTAAGATTTTCTGTACCTGTCTTAAGATTTCTTGATCCTGTCCAGACCCTTCTGATAGGGCAAAACCTCTTGGAATAATTGTACTTGAGGTTAGTAGTGTAGAGGATTCTGTGTTGTCCTGTGTCCTCTGTCTCAACTCACTGCCTTGAAGTGTTTAGCACTGAGTTTATTTTTTGCATTAATAAGTAGGCTTATATTTCTCTTCCTTGAGATCACAGAATACACATCATCCAATTCATACAGGTACAGTTCTAAACAAATCTCAGCTGTCACTGTAGCTGACTAGAGTGTTTGCGTTGTTTTCTTAATTTTAAAATTGTTCAGAAAGAAAAGTACAGTTCCCTAAAGTAATTTTTTTTTTTTTACACTGCTACAGCAGCAATTAATAAAACTTAGGGTGATCTGCAAAAATAATTGTAAATATTTGCTTGGCAACTGAACCTACTAAAAATTATCTGTCAGAATTTGAAAAACATTATACTGTTTTATGAAAAACTTAGCTTGTTTCTGTGGTATTTTTTCCTATCCTTTCTAGTGGTGACAAGCAGAAATGGTTTGATGTATGTAACAAGCTTGTGGAACTATATCATCAAGAAAAGAAATATTTAGAGGTGGGTTGAGTGCTTTATTTTCTCTCTTCTAATAGGAAATTTCCATTTGATCAGAACTAACGACTTTTCATCAAGGAATCTTTTTTAGGGGGCTGCAGACCACTTAAGATCTCCTTGTGGACCACAACTGGGAAGAACTGATTTTAACTATATTTCTTTCTTTTCCACCCTGTATGATTCATATACAATCAATTAAACTGACAGAACTGGACAAATAATATTACTATATGGGCTGGAAGATTGTTCTTCAGGCCACAGGAAGCTGCTCCAGGGCTGCCCAAGCTGCAGCCCACCCAGGACTCCCAAAGCGTATCAGCATGGCCCTTGAGGCTCCTATCGGCTTACCACGAGGTGGAGTTGTCAAATCCCTGAGTGGTTCAACAGTAACTGACCTGTAGTCTCTGTAGTTAGGTTACAGAATGCATATTTTTGCAGTTCTGCTGCTCAGTCTTCTTTACGCTTTAAAAAGGTTTCTTTCTTACAAGTCTTACTCCATGTCATCTTCTCCCCTTTCCTACAACAATGGAAAATGAAAAATTCTACATATCACTTAGGTTCAGGCTCTATTCATTATCTCCAAAGCCTCTTTGTATACTGGTTTCTGAAACTAAATTCAGTGCTAGTTTTTCAGCACACAAAGGCAGACTTGCTCTGTGTGCAACAGAAAACCACAAGTTGGATCCAGGGTCCTATTTTCACTTTTTCAGTTAGTTCTATTGATTTTTCCATACTGGAATCTCAACATGGACTGCTACTGTTCTCTTTCTGTTCGTAGTGCTGTAGATCCAACAAGGTTTCCATTTTTATTTCAGAGTTTATCAGAGGACTGTTTAGGTTTATTTTTAAAGTTGATTTCCTCCAGGAACCAGAGGCAGAATTCATACTTTGCCTCCCTTTTTCACTGTACCTTGGAAGGTGGACAGGTCCCACACAATATTCTGGAACTTGTTATTGCTTTAATTAGAAAGCAGGTAAATATAGGTCATTACCGTAAACAGTACTCTGTTGCGTAGCCTAGATTAGTAGAGATTAACAGTAACTGGAAAGCTTGTATCAGACCTGCAGCTCTTTAAAGAGTGATGGCATGGTTCATTTGTTCCTCTTGACAGGTGGCTGAAACATGGCAGAAACTAATACAGATGAAACAGGAGGAAGGTGCAGAAAAGGCCGAGCTTCACCAGCTTTGGAAGAAGATGACCCAGTTACTGAAAGACAGTACCCAGAACCAGGATAATAAGACTGCACAGCTGGTAATGTTTCCTCACTCCTCATCTAGAGACGTGTATTTGTACAGTGCAGCTAGACTTCAAGTGAAGCCTTAAAAACTGTGCAAATCTTGTGACTATTTGTCTCATTAATGTTCAGTGGTACTAAACTTCTGAGGAAAAGATGGGTGGTTGTACCTTCCAACAAAAACAGGGCACAGGGTGGAATAAAGCACCTAAATGCCAGGAGTTGTGCTGGACCTCCTTCAAGTTCTGCAGGAGGCTGGGTTTGGATTGTAGCACAGTGATGCATTGTTCTGCATCTGCACGTTATAGGAAGCATCACTCTTGAGATTTGACAGTGTGGTGGGTAGACCCTGGCTGGACAGCAGGTCCCACCAAAGCCGCTCTGTCAGCCCCCTCCCCCACTGGACAGGGGGGAGAAAATACAACGAAAGGCTCCTGGGTTGAGATGAGGACAGGGGGGGATCACTCACCAGTTACCGTCACTGGCAAAACAGACTCGACTTGGGAAAATTAATCTATGACCAGTCAAAATCAGAGTAGGGTAATGAGAACTAAACCCCAAATCTTCAGACACCTTCCCCCCACCTCTCCCTCTTCCCGGGCTCACTTTGCTCCCGATTTCTCTCCCTGCTCTGCCCCAGTGGCGCAGGGGGATGGGGATGGGGGTTGTGGTCAGCTCCTCGCCCGCTGTCTCTGTGGCTCCTTCCTCCTCAGGGGAGGACTCCTCACCCTCCTCCCTGCTCCAGCGTGGGCTCCCTCCCAC